TTAGTAGAATTGATATTCTACATTTACAGAGTATATTAAGAAGATTGTAATGGCCCTATCACAAAAGAAAAATACTTTAAAAATGGATTAATTAGTTTCTCTGATAATGTTGGCTTTTGAATTTCCTCTTTTCATTTAAAATTTATGGCCTCAGTATGACATTAGTAGAGTTTATTGCATTTTGCAGGTGGCATTCATATGTTGTTGCTTTATGTGCCATATATTGTGGGCAATGGGTTGCAAGTTTTTGTTAAAAATTTCCAGAACCACACAAGTACTTCTTAATTAGACTTGCAAATGAGTAATGCCTTTCTTCAAGGAGGGGAAATCGTTAAAACATTACAGGAATTTCTGTGCTTTTTTTCCCTTAGTTAATAGTCAGGAAAGTTTGCAGTAAAGTTTACTTTTTGAAACTTTGACATTTTATAGTAAGTTCTGATTTACATATGAAGTCATCATCTGACAATTCCAAACAAATGTCTTTACAAAGCAAACCAGTATTTTGTCTATGTGCCTGTGTCTCAAAAAAGCTTGAGCAGATTTATCTTGCTTTCTGCTATTCAAAATAGTGGAAAGATGTAATCTTAACTGCATATTTAATATCTTAAAAATTTAATAATAGATTTTAATAATGTAATAATTACCCCCTTAGTCATAGATTCCAGTGGCACAACCACTACACACAAATCACTATACTTTCTCCAAACAAGCATTACTAAAGTAAAACAATACATTAGAGCTCACACTATTGATAATGTTAACACGGAAAGTAGAAAAAAGAAAGCATGAAGTGATCAAATTTTCAGATAAAATCTTTATGCCACTTCTCAGACACAGTAAGATCTAGAAACAGAGTCTAATTTCTATAAGCATGTTTTTAGATCCAAATTGACCCTGTACTTAGTTCCAAGAGAGTTCAAAATTCTTAGTATTTATTCCCATGGCAGATGTCCATTTCATCTTGAATATGCAAATTTTTAAAAGATTTCTTATGATTTTATTTGGCTTGTAAATAACAACCTTGATTTTTTAAGATACATAATGTTTGGCAATGAAATTTTATACTTACGAGTATTAAATTATGCCAAAAAGCCATTTACTTGATATTCTTCAAATACTATAGCACAATTCAACTTAAAGTACAATTCAACTTTAAATACCATAGCACAAGTCAGGTAAAGATGTAAACCATCTTAAATAACACTAATGCAATGTGCACGTAATGAACAATATAACTAACTTAATTTTCATGTAACAGATAACATCTGGGGGAAATGTATATTGGCAAGTTATGCAAAACTAATTTTCTAGCAACCACATCTGTAGATGTTATTTATTGTATGTTCACTTAACAGTCCATTATTCTGTTTAGAAATCTATTCTCTTCTTTATTAGAGCTTTTAATGTACTCACCTTAGTTCAAATGGTCTGCTCATTATCAGAAAAAATATAAATGGCATTCACATGGAACAACGTGATTGTTTTTATTATATCCATTTGTGTTCAAGCATTCAAAAATGGCAAGAGAAACACATTTATTGCTTTACATTCAAAGTAATATTTAGGGGGTATTTGAAAGTCAAGCAAAACCAATCATTTGGCCAAATGGATGTATGTGTATAATCAGAAACTCCTGATTTTTAATCTCAGCATTAGGCCTCAGGCAACTCACTTAAAGGCCTTCCCTTTGTTTCCTGATCTGAAGATTATGGGTGCTATTCTCAAATAGAAAAAGGGAGGTTGCTAAATCAGGGTACCAAATAGGAGTGTTTTTTTAATAAACATTCTTGATCCTTTTCTGTTTTTATTTTTCCAGATTTAAGAGGTAACATATTAGACTTTTGAGGAAAAAAAAAATGAGACAATTACAATTCTGCAGGAATGTATAAAAATAGTTATAAAACTAGCTTTATTTAATTTGCTTCAACTATTCATAGACTTGAGGAAATTATAACGTTCTTTCAGAAAATCTAACTTAATAAAGCTGACCATGTCTCTCTGTTTTTAAATAGATTTTATTACAGAACCAGCGATGTTGTAAAACATGAGGTTTTGTTAAAAAAAATACAAAGGCCTAATTGTATTTTTTAAAGAAACTATTGCATCAGACGGTTTCATTTAAACATATTTTCTGGCTCTGGGCTCTCACCACAATTATTGATTCTAATTTTCCTTAAACTTGCTTTTTAAAAAGGCTACCATTTTTAATGTGAAAAAAATCACTGTGATGCTTCTGGGCATTATGTTTATTTCAAACCATATATTTGACAATGTACTTTATTATTATTAATGAAAAGACTTTATATTTACCCTTTTCTGAAATTGGGACATTTCTTTCCCTTGCAGTATCTCACTAACACAGCTAAGCGTAATTCTTCATAAAAAAGAAAAACAGAGCTAGGGTTTGGTTCACTAATAGTATGCAAAACACCCTGAAGAAATTCTCACCCCCTAGCTTCTGTGCACCAATTAAATCAAATTAATAGTTATGTGGGCTACACTCATAAAAATGAGGGCGAAGAAAAGCTCAACTCTCAGTCAGAACTTCAGGTTCTTGGGAGTTTCACTCCACCAAAGAAATGATGATGTGGAAGCTGGGAAGTTCCAAGTTTCCAAGTGTGTGCCCAGTACACACACACACACACACACACACACACACACACGGTGCCAAAGACCAGGAAACTGGGTAGTTGGTGAGTCATTCAGATGAGCCTTATAAAGAAATTCAGAGCACAGGGATGTGAGAGAAAGAAATGAGAGAATTGGACACAAATACCTGCTTACATTTAAGTGTATAATCTGATGGGGAAATGGGTACAAGTAGAAAAGGGCCGATGGTAGAATCTGCTACTACCAGGCTGGAGAGGCAGCCTATTGAGAACTTCCACAGGGTGTGAGGGCAAGTGAGCAGGAAGGCCTAGCCTGTGTATGGCCAAGCTCAGCAACAAGACAAATATGGTGACAGTAGACCAGAGAAAATTCTACTGCCTTAAAAACAACACTTTTACCTTGCAGATTATCCCAGTGCCTGCAGTAAATTCAGTAAACTCCATTCAAAATTCCTTTCTCCCTTCTTTTTGCCATCTCACTCATTCCCACCACCCCCACTCCTGTTCCTCAGTGTATATTAAAGTCTATACCACTAAGTAAATACCTCATCATCTTCCCTTGTCTCTGATTCCCATGTGCAGCTTATTTATTTTACCTATAATGTTTCAGAGGCCACTAAAATATGTTTAGCTGTCTCCTTTTCCTAGCTTGGTAAGATAAAGAGCAATAGAAGGTAAAGGAAGGATGAAAAACAAGAGTGCTGAAAAAAGGTACAAATCATTTTGTGGGAAGATGAAATTCTTGTATGCCCCATTTACGAAAAATGCAATGGCTCGTGGAAGTGCATAAGAGAAAAGAACCATTCTGATATGTTTTCTAAATATTCTATTTTGATTAACATTTAGTTGACTTAAGATAAACAATCTGGAATGATGTCACCTAACAGAATAAAAATTAAGTGCTTGATAATAGCAGTAATTTCCAAATATGGCAACTTAATGACGTATTACAGTTTACTGAAAACCACAAAGGACAAGAAGTCAGCACACCAGAGTTTAACTCCCAGCCCTGTCAAGAAGTAATTATTTGACCTTAGGCCAATCATTTAACCTCTTGGTTTCCAAATCTTTTTGCCTATAAAGTTAGGACACGTTGGGGCTTCTATATATTTACACTAAGCAGCAACTTTATATAAAATCAAGTTAAAATTAATAATATTAATTCAATGCAAAACACATAAGCATTTGTAAGACCAAAAATAAAACTTAGCTGCCAGTACATTCCAAAACCTATCTAAATCAAAAACATTAATATTTAAATGGTGACATGTAACATACAAATTCATTTGAAATATCGTGGAGACATTAAAAATGAATTCATGATTATTTCATTGGTTTTTCTTTTTCAGGCTTCACAGGATGATAATTATTTGGCGAATTTATGCATTTTCAAATTTTTGTCTTAAACTTACATTTGAAGCTCTAATCTTGGGGCCTGACTTTGTCAGCATACTGTGGGTGACTTCATCTCTGGGCCACAATAACAGGCTCCTATAAAGTAAAACAATTTATCAGTTTACAATGAGGCATGTAGTAGGCGTGAAAACGAGAACCCTCAAGTGGGCATGTCTCTACAGATCAACTGGGATGGGAATTCAAATTATAACCAAAATACTGCTTATTAAACATGGAATTAGAACAACACCTAATTAAATGAATCAAATGTTTAATGTTATGAATACCCTCATCTCCCCTTTCCCTCCCCTGAGACAGAGTGAGATGGGCACTGCCAAAGTTGGCTTCCTTGACTCTCCTTTCCCTTCATTTCCAGTGTTAACCAACCATCAGCCTCCTTCTGAGCGGCACGCTGCTGCTAAAGAATTCTTCAATGCTCATAGTGAAGTCTTGCCTTGCCCTCTGTGTGTTTGGCAAATCTCCTCCCTGGTCTACCGGCTTCATATATTAACCTTTGCAGCCCTTATCGTCTTCATCACCAAGTTCTTGATGGCCACTTCAGCAGCTACATTCTGCCGAGTCATAGCAGTCCCCATCAGGATGTCATTAAGTGTATTAAACACCTAATCCTCTGCCAGAACTAGAGAAGATACACATAGCATCTAAAACTTGGTTCTCCACCTACAGAGGGCTTATAGTCAGGAGAAAGGGGATACTGAAGCACAAAACAGTTAAGATCGAGGAGATACTACATGAAATCGTAAACCACAGAGTATAGAAAGGGAATGAGACAGTGGGCAAACAAAGTGTTAATTTTGAGAAATGGAGCTCAAAAAGCACTAGAGAACCAAGAGGGCAATGGCATCAAAAATTCAAAGGAGGTGGCACTTGAAAGATAACAGACTTGGAACTATGGTACATATGTAACGGAACTGACCGAAACTGTGGTTGCTCACCAAAGGCTGTGTCATAATTCAACTTTTTTCTTCCCATCAGCAAGTAATAGAGGTTGTCAAGTCTGCATGTAGCCCTTTCCCAAATCCTCTGGAAGAAGGAATCTCATCTGATATTTATTCAACATTCATAGAGCCCCCCACAACATTGGATACAGAAATGAAGGTATGTTTCTTTTTGTCTTTTCATTCACCCTACCTCATCATTATATTCTCTTGGGGTGGGAGGAAACGAACTAAAGGTTTTCTTCATTTTCTTTGCCTCTGATTTTTCCCAACCAAATACAAATATTTCTTGAAGTGTCAATTCAAAGATGAGTCCGCTGATGGTAGTTCAGCAATTTTAATCCTTTGCATCCCACCCTTCCTAATCTCCACCTTCACTTTCCCCTAGGCACCATGTTGATACCATGACTTGATCTGTCATAATCCTTATGAATAGGAATATAAATGCAGAGTAACATCAAATCAAAATCTCCCTCCAGATTGACATTGTTTCTGCTAGAAAAGTATCCAATAGAAATTTGAGGTTCAAGTGAGAACACATGGACACAGGGAGGGGAACAACGCACATGTGGGCCAGTTGGAGGGTGGGCAAGGAAGGGAAGGGAGAACATCAGGACAAATAGCTAATGCATGCGGGCCTTAAAACCTAGATGACAGGTTGATAGGTGCAGCAAACCACCATGGTACTCGTATACTTATGTAACAAACCTACACATTTTGCACTTGTATCCTGGAACTTAAAGTAAAATAAAATAAATTTAAAACAAGAAGTTTTACATTCCATATAAATCAATGAATGCTCTAGAAATCACCTGAGTGTTGTTTACCTTCAATATTCTAGGGGTTGGATCAAGAACAAAGTCCTGAGGAGTCTCAGCCAGAAACTGACACCTCAAACATGGATCCTTTAGTTGGATTCACCATTGAAGATGTAAAATCAGTGCTGGATCAAGTCACAGATGACATTTTAATCAGCATTCAGGTACTCAGTATTGATAGTATGCTCACTTACTTTATTACTGGTTAATTAGCCAACCTTAACTTTAATGTCTATAAACACTTCCTACACGGCCAGCACGAGTGATGCTTATGATGAAGTTCAATTTAACAGCTTTACGTAATTCTCAGTTGCGTCATCAGAGATTCAGTGAGATCACAAAATAGATTTTCCAACAGCATCTAGTGTGGTGCATGTTATCAGTTAACAAAATCAACGACAAAATCCGAAAAATAACATGGTAAAGGCTTTATATCTTGTCAAACTGTAAATGTTGCTCATGCAAAAGGAATTGGAGTGCATTTCTAAATGGTAAACACTGAAGATCAAACCTTAATCCTTAGCTAAGTGTTCTCCCCAAATTTCTAAAGACTTTCAGATCTTTGAACTGCCTCTCAGACAGTTTGTTCCTTTTCACCTATCATTAATGGCTAAGCAGTTTACACCAATAACTACACGAACATAGTGATGGCAGCAGCCATATGAATAGCAGCTGCCAATGATTTATTAACTGGCTTAGGTTTATGCTTAGTTCTTTCTCATTCTATTCAAAAAACAAACAGCCATTTCTACCCCAACTCAAAGACTTACAGGAATTCACATAATTTTTCAGGCCAAATGATTAAATAAGTAAAATGCATATTCTGAGTACACTTGCAATTTCTTTAGAAATGACTATAAATCAGGAGGGCAACCTAGTGCATATTTAAAATATTAATGCACCTCCGGAGAAGATTTAGTTGTCATCTGAACATGAGACCATATATTAAAAGCCCACTGTATTAACAACTAATTTAAAAAGAGCACAAGATTAGCTTGGCATAAACATACCTTGTTACTTGTTTAATCATCAAATGTTATTGCACTATTTACACGAACATTTAATGATTTGGTGCCAACAGGCTCAGCCAAAGTCCTCAGCTTAATAAGGGGTGTTTAGTGTTTACCAGAAATAGTGGAAGAACACGTTTTACACAAAGCTTTATTGTTAACAACCCCATGAATGTAATAACTGGTTATTGTGTAGAAGGGCAGAGTGCAGTTGAATTAAGCTGAGTTCAGAACATATCTCCTTTTTAGATTTGATAACATTTCATCTAAATATAGTTTATGTATAATCATGGCTCTGGGCTCCTTTGCAATCCTGCAGCTCTGAAATTATTGCCGAGGAACTACTAGACAGTAACTGAATTGTTTGCAGGCCCAAAAAATCGAAAACGTCTTTACCAAAGCTGTCTTCCATGCAGTGAACAGTATGTTTTTAACTATTCATTGAAATTATTTTAAATATTACAGTCTACAGCATTTATACCCCTACTCTGTATGATAGCTGTGTGTCTGTATGTTATCTTCCCATTGGCCTGAAGCCATCCTGGAGGTTCAATAGCTTGCTCACCTAAATGTAATTAAGCACGGAGAGGACATGGACCAGAGGACAGGGATGCAGATCCGCTAGGTGCCACAATCATTTCCATAGTAAGTGGATTTGTAGATATCAGCCTGGGCCAAATTACTGCCAATTTTTCAATGAAATAGCATGATGATGTGGAATTATACAATGGCTCGAGATGGCAAACCCCTTTATGTATTTTTTCTCAGTAATCCTAGTAAACTCCATGTGAGTGAGGCAGACACTTCCCCTGATAAACTGAAAAATGGGACACAGAAAGACTTAAGTTATTTGTGCAGAGTTCCCAGGGTCGACAACTGATGAAAGACCCTGAATGGGAGCTGTGACCTGGGTTCTAGTTCTAATTCCAGTGCTATCCACAAAAACCACATAACTTCTAATATCACAACCAGACTACTTTGGATGTTAACACTCCCGTGGTGTGGCACTTTTTCCGTGTTTACCCTTGCGTCTTGGTCAGATTCCAAGTTGGGTAATTACTCTCTGCTTACCTAAATTCCTCCTCCTATTTTAGATGTATAGGTTATTTTCCACTTCTAAAACCTGCCTTCCAGTGTTCCTTGCTCTAAGAACTGCCATATCCCTTTTCAAAGGTAGCTATGTGTCAGTGGTCAGTGTATATATGCCATTTGAATACATTGACCTGCTGTAGGAACATTTAATGAATTACTGCTTGTGAGATGTTTTAAATTTTCCCACAGTTTTTTTTCTCCTCCTTTGTGTAAAGGTCATACTGTTATTACAATTTTTGCAAAAAAAAAAAAAAAAAACTGGCAGTAAATAATTCATGTTTTAAGTACAGTTTTTTTCAAAACTCCTTTTCTATGTGGTTTCAGGCATATTTGACCTTCTCTAATACAGAAATTTCTGAAAATGTAGTATGAATCCATAAGTTTTTTATGTTAATTCACTTATTTTCCCATTGACTCATTTTATGGTTTTAGAGATTTATTAAGAATGAAGTTATCTTGGCCCTGAGATGTTAATTAAAATTATACTGAAGAGAGCAAACATTTTAAGCCTGTATAGTTTAGGTATTTTAATTTTAAAGATACATTCAAAATGAAATTATTTTGGCCCTGAGTTGTGTAATAAAAATTATACCCAATGGAGCAAACTTAAATATATTTAAAGAACTACATTTCAGAGAAATATGAATGCTAACACTAAATTCTTACATTACATGTTGGCTGTTGGCCCTGTCTAAGCAATAGGGTAAAATAATGTAAAAACTTTGAGGGAAGTTTGCCATCTTGGGACGCTAGATGTTTTTAGGTCAACTTGAATTTTCCAGGTTAGAAAAGCTGAGCGTGAGATCATCTCAAAGAAGTGGTCAATGAGAGACTACTGAACCTATTTTTTTTTTTTCCTTAAAAAAAAAAAAGTAGAACCAGATCCAACCACAGTATTTGCAGGATTGTTTGTCTGTTCAGCAAGGTTCTGAAGAATGATAAAGAAAAGGGGCTAATGGCAGCCTGTTCTTGACTAGAAGTAGAGCCTTTAGATCCAAACTCCGCTGGTTGTGACTGAACTAAAGTACTAAGCACTAAAGTCTGGAGATCTGAAACATTATTCACCTTTGTCAGTATGCCACTCTTTTAGGTGCACCTTCATGAACCTTTTCCCAAGGCCTACACTTGTTTTGATAATTTCTGTCTCAGTAAAATACCAGAAAGGCCTCCAAGTGAATGTAAAATCTCTATGCAGTAGTGAAACAGAAACTGGTAGATGATAAGCACATTAATCCTTAGCTGAAAAGAAATGAGATTACTGGTGGGCATAGAGGGACATTAATTGAAAGTGGGAAGAATCAATTGTTTGAGTGGAGCAATTCTTCCCAATCCCTTGAAATTGTGGTAAAATTATTTCAAACCGTTTTAATCCCTATGTGGTCCAATATGTTGTATGCCATAAATTTATTTTAATGAGGCAGGAGTAACAGATTTTTAAGTATTTCATGACATCATAACAATGAAAGATAACATTGGTGAAGTATATCACAAAATTGGAAGTTGGAATTACGAATCCAAAAACTAAAGTGTGACATTAACATAATCCTATTCCCCTACTTAATTTTTAAGGTAAGAGCTAAAATCCAGGTGGTGAAGTGAGTTACGTAAGGCGACATAGCTGAACTAGTACCTAGATCGTCCCAGTCTGAGACCAGTGCTCCTTTCGACCCTACCTAAAATCATGCGTAGATTATGATTTCTTTAGAGTCAGTACACCCTAAAGAAAAAGTTCCTGTGTGACCTGGAGGACAGTTCCATCCCTCCTTGCCTCCTCCACCCAACCACCAAGAAAGGAAAAGATAAGAAACCAGAGGCCAGAGCTTGATCCCAAGGTTTACTAAAGCTTGAATCAGAAAAGACTCATACTTATGAGAATTCTGAACCCAGAATTGTTGGCACATATATGATCTTTCCAGAAATATCATATCTTACTGTGAGATGAGATCAAATCTCATCAGATAAGGCAGCATGGACATTTCAAAACTATCTGTTATAGTTACCCTCTTGTAAATAAATATGAAAAATTATATCTGGGCTTAAAACAGTATTTGATTTTTTTAAATGTCTTCTATTTAAATTAAAATAATAAAAGGTTTGCAAAGTACAGTTACCCTGAAGCCCTCAAATAATGTTACAGCTATTAGAAATGTAACTTTTTGAGTTTATTAACACAGATGTGTATAAGCTACTCCTTATACAGTGGTAGACATTTTTTAAATCACCTAAACAAGAACAAAAACACCAATTTTGCCACGTCAACCACCACTGGTTTTTCTGTACCTAATTTTATTATCCCTTGTGAAAAAGGGAAGACATTTCCAGGGCTACTAATGTTTAGATAATGTGAAAGTATTTATGGAATTGTGCAGGTAGCAATATGAGTCCACAGAAGATCACTGCCAGAGGCAAAATGCTATCACCACCTCGGCAATCACAAAACCTGAGAGTAATTGCTTACTTTTTTTTACCAAAAATATACCACAAAGTGGCATCATTCCAAGAGTTCTAATGTATGATGAATACTCTTAATTATGGGAATTGTTCTGATTGTAAGATTATTTGTGTTGTTTTTTCGCAACAGAAGCTTCCTGGGATCTCATTTAGAATGTATTACACAGAAGACACAGACATCCATTGCAGATGGGTGGAGAGACCCACAGTACTGCAATAACTGAGCCCAAAGCAGTTATTCTGATTCGGTGCTTATTGGTAAAGTCTGTCTGAAAATACAGATAAATTATCCTATCTTCCAACACAAGGCTATGTGAAAAATGGCCGTCCAAATACCACTTCCTGTTCATAGCAGACATGCTATACATTGGAAATGTGCAGAGAAATATGATAAAGTGTTATCACATCACTACAGGCTGAAACACAGCTATGTCTGCAAAACAGGAAGGTGTGTGAGGGATAATGTCTGTCTTTAGGCACTATAGTATGTCAAAACCACAAAGACAATGTGCAGCAAAAGATAGCTCCATCATAACCACGTTTTTTATGATTGTCTTCACAGACCGAGATAAACGAAAAACTGCAAATACAGGAAGAGGCCTTTAACGCACGAATAGAAAAATTGAAAAAGGCCTGAGGACTCGGTACAAGGAGAGTGATGCTAAACTTCACAGAAACAAACAAAACCAGTCAGAATAATAGACTCTCTGGAGCATCGTATCTCCGTCACTTAGTTGTGAAAGGAAAACCAAGCCCCACTTTTTATTTTCCTAAGTAATTCGGAAAGTATTGGTCCCAATTTTGCTATCTCCCATCCCATAACAGCCTCTGAATTTATTGCACCAAGTGTAATAAGAATATTTTGTATACAAGAGTTTGGAGAATTATATATAAAAATACAATTACTTTTATGATAGTCCTTTGACGTTTTGACTAATAAATGCTATTCATCTTCAAGGAGAATGAAGCCAACTTTTTAAATAACCAGAAATAAAGAAAAATGATAATAACTTTATCCATTTTGACCCAAATGAACTGCCACATTACTGGAACACTGTGAAAAGATACCAGTACCACACTACTGAGGATAAAATTTGTTAAACAATAGCAATTCAAGTGCATATACGAGGGTTTTTTGTTTTTTTTTTTTTACTGAAATCATTTGTTTTTCTTATTTAAACGTTTCAGTGTGAAAACAATTTTCTGAAATTATATAATGCAGTTTGAAGCACTTTAATTTATTCTGTACTGTATTTGTTATTTCTAATCTTGTTACTCTCCCAGGAGAATACATGACCTATATAAAAAGAAGCAATGTATAAATGGTTATTAAAGACCAACCTATATATAGATTGTAAAAATCTTAAATACAAATCAAACTCATAGAGTTCCCAAAATTAACCATTATATTGCAGTGGAATGATTTTTTTAAAATCTCAAGTCTTTAAATACCTTTATTAAAAATATAATTTCAAAAGAAAAAATATCAACTTGCCAGCTGATTGTCCCCAGTTGGACAAATTAATTAATTACTACCAAACTCTTTTCCAAAGTTCTTATACGTCAGAGTATGCTGGAATGGAGAGCAGTTTCCTCAAAAATTTTCTAGGTTATACAGTACTTTGATCGGGGTGACACTTGATTGAATATCAGCTTTAACCCTACTTTCTCCATCAGTTCAAAGAAACTGCCCAAAATATATTCACTGGGGGCACAGGCAGATCTGACAGCATTTGGTAATTTTCTAACTACACTGATCAGCGAAGTAAGAGTACCTTTTAAGGTAAAACAATGTTTATTGTTCCTGCAGTTCCAAGACTAAAAGGCCTGGAGATGTGTTTCTTCTCTGAGCTGTCCTTCCTAAATGAAAACGTTGATGGCTGCAGATCAGTAGGAGGGCTCATGAAGTCTGGATTCCATCAGGCGGTGTTTTCTCCAGAACAAACTGAAACTGGGGAGACTGCAAATGTGGAATAAAGGAGCTTCCAGAAATCACCAAAAACAGCTTCACGTGCAATCGTTGGCACAGAATAGACCTGCATCTCCAATAAAGAGTGCTTATCTGAGCAAGGATATCAGTCAGAAGTATCAGGACTCTAAGACTGAACCAAAATAGCACTAGGATCCCTAAACACCATATAGAGACAATATATGTAAGCATGCCTAAAGTTGTGGTCTCTAGACTGAGACTCCCACAGTGTGATACTGGCTTCACACTGGTGAGTGTGTGACCTTGGACAGGCTACTCAACTTCTATTTGCTCATCTGTTAATTGGAAGTAATACTTTTTTTGAAGTGGTTATGAGGACTCAATATGCCGCTGCTCATCCCTAATACCCATTGCCCAGTTGCTTGATTAGGCTGTCTGCCAGAATTCCGAGCCTTCTCTGTCTCTCCACTGGCACCTGTGGGGCAGCATGTCCTCTCCCTCTGTTGAAGTCATCCCATGGTAGCCACCCTACCACTCTGCTCTCCTGTATTTTCCATGGTGGAGAAGCCCAGGGATCTCTCTGGCAACCCAACTTGAAGATATAATAATAATAGGAGTAAGAGCAACCACAACTTGCAAAAGTATTTTTTGCCCATTCAAACAATTGGATACATGCATAAGTGGTCTTTTTTTAATATTGCTCTTTACATTCCTTTTCAGCAAGTAATATATCGGAGAGAGAATTTCCTATCAGTACATTTTAGCAACCATGTAATATTTCATTTTATCAATTTCATAATTTTTTGATGGGTCCTCCTGCTGAACTTTTTGGTTTCCAGCAGTTTGTTATCGCCATGCTGCATGGCCACCCTTGCGCACACATCTTTGTGAATGTGTATGATTATACCTGTAGGACAAAACTCTAGAGGTGGAATTCCTAGGTCCAATTGTATGTGCATTCCAATATTCTTAGATATTGTCAAAGATATTTCACCATTTTGTATGCCCGCCAACAGTGTGTAAAAATACCTCTTTCTCGGCCGGGCGCGGTGGCTCAAGCCTGTAATCCCAGCACTTTGGGAGGCCGAGACGGGCGGATCATGAGGTCAGGAGATCGAGACCATCCTGGCTCACCCCGTGAAACTCCGTCTCTACTAAAAAATACAAAAAACTAGCCGGGCGAGGTGGCGGGCGCCTGTAGTCCCAGCTACTCGGGAGGCTGAGGCAGGAGAATGGCGTGAACCCGGGAGGCGGAGCTTGCAGTGAGCTGAGATCCGGCCACTGCACTCCAGCCTGGGCGACAGAGCGAGACTCCGTCTCAAAAAAAAAAAAAAAAAAAAAAAGAATACCTCTTTCTCTACATTTTACCAACAACATACATTAGTCAATTTTTTGTCTTTGATATTCTGATAGAAAATAATGTCACACTATTGCTTTAATTTGCTTTTATTGTTTTACTCCACATGGGTTGAATACCTTTTCATATATTTATAAGAAAATATATATATATATTCATTTAACATATATAATGTGTGATAATAATATATATATTATGGTTATTAGGAAGACTATATTCATTTAGTCTTCCTAATAACCCTGAGAGAGAGAGATGATAGATAGATAGATAGATAGATAGATAGATAGATAGATAGATAGATACTATTAGTCTTTAATAGTTAGCCTCATTTTATAGTTATGGAGCCTTAAGCTTAGAGGGATTATTAACCTAAACAGAGTTACACATTTAATGATTGGTGAGACGGGGCTTCCAAACCGAGTCTGATCTACTTTACAGATAACGAAACTGGAATACAGAGAAAGTTTAGGTAACTCTCCATGATCATACTGCCTGCAGGTGGTAGAATTAAGTTTGGAACTTGGGCCAGTATGATCACAAAACCCAAGTGCTTAACCTTTATCTTCATCTAGCCATCTCGTAGTTGACATGAAATAAAGAGAAAGCTGACCTTTCCTTTTCCTTACTATATGATAGTATTATTAGAATAAGCAAGTTTGTTGCTGTTCCCTTATTACTATAATAAGGGAACAAACTTGCTTATGCTAATGAGTGTATTAAGTTTTTGAAAAATGTATCCAAGGATAGAATATATAACTCATTTCCATTCATCTATTCATTGTGATGTATTCGTTGAGCACCTTCTATTTGCCTGGGCATTTAGTGGTGAGCCAAATAGACATGGTATCTGCCCTAATAACTTAGTGGGGGCAGTTAATAGTAACTGTGATAAAGACAAGCTCAGGGAGTTAGGAGAATATAGGGCAAAGGAGCTTGGTGGCATCTAAAAGGTCAGAGAATCTTCCTATGGGTATCAACATCAGGGCTGGGCCCAAGAAAATTTAACCAAAGAGAAGGTGAAGGAAGATGTGTTTCTGACAGAACGAGGCATGTGCCAAGTCCCTGGGACACAAGCTGAAGCTGAACAATTGTCCAGAGCCAACGCTGTTGTGGGGTTGTGGAGCACATTACAGATTTTTATTTTTATTTTTTATTTTTATTATATTTTACTTATTTATTTATTTATTTTGAGACAGAGTCTGGCTCTGTCACCCAGGCTGGAGTTCTGTGGCGTGATCATAGCTCACTGCAAGCTCCGCTCCCGGGTTCATGCCATTCTCCCACCCCAGCCTCCCGAGTAGCTGGGACTACAGGCGCCCGCCACCACACCCGGCTAATTTTTTTGTATTTTTAGTAGAGACAGGGTTTCACCATGTTAGCCAAGATGGTCTCGATCTCCTGACCTCGTGATCTGCCCACCTTGGCCTCCCAAAGTGCTGGAATTACAGGCGTGAGCCACCGTGCCTGGCCACAGATTTTTATTTTTAACTTAAAAACAATGACTCATTGTTGACAAACCTTAAGTAGCAAGTGACATCAGATTTGTGTTTTTAAAAAGGTCATCTCTCTGGTACCAAGACTTCTAGCCGTGGAGACCTGGAAAAGGGAATATTCTTATAAAAAGAGTCCTACTGCTAATGATGTCATAGCAACACTTCATAGCAGTTTCTAAGAGAGGGAGAAATAAAGAAAATGTTTGACTTTTTTAAAGTGACAGAGTCCACCTACTCTAAGCACTCTTTGGCATAAAGGTTGCCCTCTGAAGAGCCAGTTTAAAAATAATACCAACCTATCACTTAGGAGCAGCTTTTCTCTCGTCATCCACAATAAAGTATGTTTCTTCTATTTGCAGGAATAATTTGGAAAACTTTTTGCATAGATCCCATGATAAGTTTCAAAGAGCAAATATATTCATTATGTTATAAACAAGCCACAGACTGCCACTATTTCAGGTATTTGCAGGCACTGTTGTGCCTAAATATAACTGTGGAGTCATTTTCCCAAAATCTGAATATAAAGCCCCTATTTCTATCCTTCATTTGATTGGAACCATTCAATCATCCTGGTAGATAATAAGTTTGCATGTTCTTAGATTGCATTTCATTATGTTTCAGTTCCCCTAGAGAATAAATGTGCTCCTTTTCCCAACAATTGTAGAAGAGAAATACTTCTGACATCTCAAATTTCAGCCTCTGGAAGACGTCCCTCTTCTGGACATGAAAGTCATTTGTTTCCTGGACATTCATTTGTTAAATATGAGAAGTCAAGACCCCCTCGTGACAGCCAAAATACCTATTAATTTAAGTTTCCAAAGAAAAACGAATCCAGATCAAAATAATTCCATCCAGATCAAAATAATTTCAAACCAAAGAGAGAATACTAAAAATTCCTTTTGTTTTCAGGATGACTTTCCTTTTCACAGAAGTACCTTCAGTGAAGAAGATTGGTTTATCATATTTTATTTGTCAGAGCTGCCAAAGTGTTTTATGTTAATATAATTTTTAGCTTCAGAGAATGTTCATTGCAAATGTCTTCAATGGTCATTTTGGTGTTTGTTTCTTCCTTTTAATCTAGCTTGTAATTTATTCTGGGCTTTCTAAGTACCACAATGAAAGAAGACAATTAAGGTCCTTAACTTGAGAGAGTCCATGGAATTAATGACGTTTATAATCTAGAGACAGAAGACACGCAAGTGAATTATTTTTTCAAAATAACATGCAGAATTATAATCACAAAATGTTTATAAGGATAATCCTCAAACCCATATAAACCCACTTACTTAAAATAGTGTTGGTCCAAATCTTCTTTGCAGAATTCCAAATAAATTATGTGGATACTCCACTCCAAAGGAGGAGGAGTGTAACTCCACTGATGTATGGGCTGTACATAGTGACTTCCAAAGAATATACTGTGGAAAAAATAATGCTTTTATAGTTGAGAGACCTGACAAACACTGCTTCAGCCAGGTTATCAAGGTCAACATCAACAGTCAATAAATCATGTTAATTCATGTACCCTTGATATGAGGTGAAAATGTTGAAGATCTCTGTGATCGTCATGCCAAAAACCTAAAACCCCGGTCTAATCATGAAGAAAACATCAGGCAA